GCTTCGACTACAAGATGTTTTTTCCGGTTAAGCTGCACAATACATGTTGCAAAATGTTCTCCCTTTTCTCAGAAATAGCTGCGGTTCGCTAACAATGGGACCATGGGCTAAGATTTACCTTGCCTCTATTTCCTCTTGAAAATTTTCCATTCCTCCTGCTTCCTTACCCCGCCCTGAGTAAAAATCCCCTGCATATAAGCAAGCTTTACCTTTCAATAAACGAGACCTTGACATTGCACAGACGGACTCTTGTCCTTTCTTGCGCCGCAAGGTCTCTCTCCTCTCTCGCCCTCATGACCCCTTTAGGTGACAACCCCCTCGAGACCCGCGAATAACCTGGCCTGCTGGACGGGTCACTCCACTTTGTGTAATATTCCTGAGAGTTACAAATATTGAAAAAAATATTTTAAGTGTATTCACATATGTTGAAAACATGGAAATGTTCGGGAGTTCCCGCTTAGATTTGTTAATAAAAGACTTGTTAATAAAAGAATGTCAAATCTTTTTCCAAAGACAATTATTATTAATTTGAAGTAAAAATCAAACAAGATCGACAAAGAGAGGGATAAGAGGAGGAAACAAAAGTTCTGCCTTTTGAGTTAGGGTCCAATAGCTAACTACCTTGTTCAGAAAGTCCAGCAGCAGTTGAGACAGTCATTCAGAGAATGAGAAAGCCAATGTCAGGGAAAGCAAGCTTAGGCTTTGACTGTTGACTAAAGAAAGACAAACAAAAGGCAGGTGTTACCTTTTCCTTAATCAGAACACAGAAAAGCAAGAAAGCTTAGTACTGCTACACGGCAGAAGGTCCATAAAGGCACTCATATTGGGAAGTATAAATACATTATTTTATTAAATGGATAATTATCTGTCCCACCTCTTTGACGTCCCCAAATAAATCAGGTTTTCTCCTGGGAGTGGACTCTTAGCCAGCTTAAGGGAAGAGATAATAGTATGTCATGTTAGACTCTTTGGAGCAGATCCGGATGCCACCTAGAGCACGGGTATTCCATTTTGGCCAGGGGGCCTAAGGAGGGGTAGTTATTAGCTTCTTTCTCATGTCACCAGGGAAACGGGAGGCAGAATGCAGTGTTACCATGAGGGAGTGCACCCTCGATGCTTTCCGGAACCTATCTAGCTAACAGAATATGCTTAGAGTCCCCAAACGGCTTCCTACGTTGCCTCGG